TATTGGGATCTGGGTCCTCAGCTGGATTCTTGGACCTTTAGTGTATGGACAGACTTCCTGTACTCCTTGTACATGATTCTTTGGGTGATTCATTATAAAATAATACTATAAAATGTGTACTATATTATATTGGTCCCCTTGCAAAAACCCCAAACCATGATAGGGAGATTTTTATTTTTAGGATATTTAGCAGGTAAAATTGAGGAATCTTGGGGATTGTTCTCAAACAAGGAAGAAAAGTTACAAATATTCCTCCTTGATTTGTCTGATTGACAAATAGTGTGCTCAGCATTTAAAGAAAGAAGAGGAGGAACAGGTTTAGGAGAAAGATGATGTTTCCAATGTGAGTCATGTCAAGAGAGGTGTCTCTTCGCCAGCCAGGTGGAGACAGGTGGATATGCAGGTATGACTCAGAAAGTTCTCTGGCTACAGACACCAGCTTGGGAGCAGCAGATGCTGCAAGCCTAAGGCATCTGTCTCTCAAGAGGGCTCCATCCCACAAGAGGGACACTTCAGGGTGGGAATCTAGTAAATCAGCCTATAGCTGTACTGTGCCTAGCCCAGTGTCCCAGCACAGAGCAATTGGTCTATCCTAATTATAGGGAAGAGGGGTAAATTTGTAGCCAGAGCCCTTAGCACTGAACTAATATCAGTGTTGCCAGAGGTACAGGAGTAGAGCTCAGCTCCTTCCAGGAAATATATCTCCCCATAACAGGCCACTAACTCAGAATAAAATGAGTGCATCATCAAGGAGAAAGCATTGACAAGGAATGGTTCAAAGATCCCTCCCTGGGGTGGAACACAGATCCAGTGGCCAGCACTGACACTCTTGCAAAGGCAAACTTCTCCAGCCACCTCCATTCTGCTCAGGTCCCCAAGTTTCAGAAACTCCATGAGTCTTCATTTATGGCACCTGGGGAGATCTGCCACAAGAAGGGCCACATAGTAGGATGCAAAAGCAATATTGGTTAGGACCTCATTCATTCATTCACCCGCTCACTCATTCACCCATTCAACAAATATTGCAGAACCCAGCATTGTCCACCAGGAATACAGAAATGAATAGACTTCAGTCTGGAAGCAGTGTCACTGTAGCTGTAAAATCTCTGTCTTGTAGTTGCTGTTAGTTTTGGAAACTTTCTTCCATTGGGTGTAAGAAGGTGCTGAGGGGTCACTTGGCTGTTGTGCTGGGTTGTTATAGTTTGATGAAAGAACGAATGTAAGGAAGAGGGAAGTAGGGTACTGGAGAAGCGTCCACAGGAGGGATCTCTGGCTGGAATCAGGACCTCCCTTTTCTGGGGGAACAATTATTAAAAGATGACATTTACCAAGCACTTTCTCCCGGCTACTAGGCACACTGCTTTCCTTAGATTACAGAGATTCTTCAGACAGCGTGATCTTGGGTACATTCTTCCTCTTCTCTGGACCTTACCAATACACTGTCACATTAAGAAAGCCATACAGGAGAGGCCGAGAGTCTGGCTCAGTGGCACAGAGCCTGCCTGGCAAGTGCAAGGTCTTGACCTGAGTTCGATATAAGGAGCTCTCCATTGTCTCCCCGGAAAACTTCCGGCGAGCGGAACTTAAGGTTTGGAAACCGCCAAGGACGCCCGGAGGTTTTTCTCCGATACACCTCCCCTAGCGACGCGCGGCCGGTTGCTAGGGGCCGAGGCGCGGGAATCAGTGAAGGCTGCGGATGCCTTCTGCTCCGCGCCGGAGTGGGACTCCCCGCTAGACCCACAACTCACAGGGAGGTATGGAGCTCCGGATGGTAAAAAGGGGTGCCGCGGAGAAGTGGGATAGTTCGTGCCCCCTAGGCCGCAGCCATCACCTGCCCAAAGCAGCCAGGGGGTTTCAGAGGGTCAGCGTGGGCTGGGGGGCCCAAGGTTTCCACCCTGGGGAAGACCACCTCGCTCACAGACATCAAACCAGAGGCTTTGGCGGTTTACATAATGGCCAGGAAGCATTTGTGATCTAAAGAGCCAGGAAGGCAAAACGACATACACTTGTCCCCAGCCTTGGAAGTTCTGACGTAGGTAGAACTACAGCAAAATAAGAATAAATGAATAAGTAAAAAGGTCTGGGATGTAGGTCAAAGGGAAGGCCCTATCAGCGTTGTCGATACTGTGGCACGTGTGCCACAGCTCCAAAAGGTTCGCCATCCCTGCTGGGTTCAGTCTGCAGCACTACGCTAAAATAAATAAGGAAATTGCCTTTTTCTCAGAATCAGTAAACTCTGAAGTAAGCAGTAAATTCTGAAGATTTTTGATTAGCATAAGTAAAATAAAAATGTTTAATGATGAAATTAAATATATTTTGCATATTTAAAAAGATGTAGTGGGGGGCCGGGGAGATGGCTCAGTGGAATAAGCGCTTGCCTGGCAAGGGCAAGGGCCTGAATTCAATCCCTGGTTCCACCAAAAAAGAACCCAAAAAACAAAATAAAAAGATGTAGTGGACTGGAGAGACAGCTCAGTGGCATAAGCACTTGCCTGGCATGTACAAGGTCATGAGATTGATCCCTGGGTACTGAAAAAAAAAAAAAGTATAATTGACAGTACAGTACACTTTCATTGTTGGAAATGTGAATTATAGAGCTTTGGAATTGTGTAAACTATTGCTTTCTTTGTAAAAGAAAACCTATACTTAACAATATTTATAATTAAATTGAGTCCTTATTTACTGTGTAAATCTCTTTTCAGTGCAAACATTTACTTAGAGAAGAGATTAACTTGAGCGTCTTTTCACTAATTACAGAGATTAGGAAGTGGCTGCCTGCGCTATTTTTTCAAAGGATAAACATTACAAGTCATTAAATATGGCAACTCACCAGGAAGATCCTATTGGTTTGAGGGTAATTCTAAAAGTTATTTTTTCCCTAAAATATACCATTAATACTCTTTACTTAGGAAGTATAGCTCTCAGAATATGCCAGCTAAGAACCCAATCAGTTTTAAGCACAGCCAGTCCATTTATAGCACCTGCAATTTCCAATGACCTAGATCTAAGGATAGCATCTGTTTTTATAGTTTGATGGCAGTGTTGAGAAGTGGGTTAGGTTGGCAGATAGGAAGCCTTACATTCTCTATCCATAAACACAACATCCCAAGTATCTTGAAACTACCCTGAAACTTTTCCTGTTAGCACATCTTGTGACCTATTGTAGAGAATCCTAGCATGTTTGAATTGGGATGTTAGAGTCACTACTTTACAGCAAATATTTTTGTTGTACTGCGCAACCCACTTGTGGTACAATGATAAATAAAGCCTTTTTCCTTATGAAGCATATAGTCTACTAAAAATCACTTAGACTCTGAAGCATATAGTCTACTGAAAATCACTTAGAGTCTTGTGTCCTAGTTATTTTTTAGTGTTAGGGATTGAACCCAGGCCTCATACATGCTAGGTGAGTACTCTGCCATTGAGCTACATCCTCAGCCCTTTTTAACACAGGGTCTTCTTAAGTTGTCCATGCTAGTCTCAAGCTTGTGTTCCTTCTGACTCAGCCTACTGAGTAGCTGAGGAGGACGAGACCCAGAGAACAGACTAGAGCCACTTGGGGACATCCACAGAGATGAGGCAGAGCTGGGGCCGAGCCCAAACTCTTGATGCTACAACCACTGTTTCTGCCACTGCCTTGTTCTTCTGTACTACTTAGCTATTACTGTCGGGAGGTCAGTTCTGACAACTCAGAATTCTGATGGAAAACTTTTTTAGTGATCATGATATGACTGAGAATGTTTATGTGGCTAATTTTTTTTTTTTTTTTTTTTTGTGGAACCGGGAATTGAACTCAGGTCCTTGCACTTGCCAGGGAAGTGCTTATCCCACTGAGCCATCCCCTGGCCCCTAATAGAAAGAGTCAGGACAGGGGCGCGAACTGGCGACCTCACGCCCCAGAGCCCAGCACGGAGACCGCCGCGCTAGGTCGCCGCCTTATGTGGCTAATTTTAGCTGCTGTTCTCCCTGTAGACAGGTCTTCCTAGAACTAGGCTTCTTTAGTCCATAAGCAATCAACTTTACGGAGAACCCCAGGAGAAATGGGGACTAGGCACTTTCACTGCCCCGTTTACTTCCTGCAGCCCTCTGGCATCTCACAGAATCACTAGCTGTAGAGGACACAGGACCTAAAGTGGCCGAGATTGGGCCCTGTCAGTTTCCTTCAGGGTCAGCAAATTGTTAGGCTGGCCCATATTTTCAGGTGTCTCTCTTTTTCTCTCTGTTTCACCACAAACTAGGTTCTCAGGTGTTAATTAGGAACTTAGGAAATGTTTCCTAAGATGGATGATTGTCTTTGAATGTATAATTTATTTTCTTTCTTTTTCTAGCCTTGTTATTGATGGGGACAATGTAAGTAAATCTAGGAAACAATCATTTTGTATTCTAATATGTATCATTTAGTATTAACACGATTTTAATTTCTAGGTCAGTGGTTCTCAAATTTTTTTGCCCTAAGGACTCCTTTTCTTTCTTTCTTTCTTTCTTTCTTTCTTTCTTTCTTTCTTTCTTTCTTTCTTTCTTTCTTTCTTTCTTTCTTTCTTTCTTTCTTTCTTTCTTTCTTTTTTTTTTTTTGGCGGGGGCAGTACTGGGGATTAAATTCAGAACTGTGTTCTTGCCAGGCAGGTGCTTGAACCACTGAGCTATCTCCTCGGCCCTCCTTTTCATTTTTCAAAAGTGACTAAGGCTTCTACAGTTGTTTTGTTCATGTAGGTTATAGATTTGGATCAAATTCAAATTCCTGCTTTGCTGCCTCTTATTGACAATGAAAGTGAGAAATTTTAAATTATTTACCTATTTTAATGTCTATAATAATAAACCTATTGCATGTTAAGTACTATAATTGTATGATAAATAAACTTTACAAGCAACTTAGCAGTAATTATAATGTATTTTTCTAAGCTCTTACTTTTTTGGCATGAACAGAGGACAACAGATTCTCTTAGCAGCTGCTACTGTCCAGCTGTTGCGTTTTATGTTTCAGGTTGAGAAATCAGGCCTCCCACAGAAATACAGTTGGAAAAGGGAAGAACTGGGACTCCCTGAAGACTCAGGAATCCCTCCGGGCCCTTAGGCTGTACTTTGAGAGCTGCTGGTCTATGTCATTACCCTTACTGTATCATTTAGTGTCATTATCTCCGGCTTCTCATTCTTATTAGAGAGTAATCTCATGATCTGGGTAAGCTGAGTTAGAGAAGTGCCACGATAAAATTATTTAATACAATCCAGCAAGCAAGGAAGGGCTAATGTATTGTTATTTATTTTTAATTCCATGCTCTTGGTATTTATTTTATTGTGATGAAGTAGATATGCCATAAAACTTGCTACTGGTGACATTTAGTGCATAGATAGTGGTGTGTAGTTGACACCAGCTGTCGAGTTCCAGGACACTTTCACCACCTCAAAAGGAAACTGCCGGTTCAGTAGCGAAGTACTCCCCCCACTCTCACCTCACCTTTGCTGTTGGCCACACCAATCTGCCTTCTGTCACTATACATTTGTGAACTGTGTAGAGATTTCCTATAAGCGGAGTTACACATTACGTAGCCTTTTGTATCTGGCTTTTTCAAATGTGGTCCTGGGGGTTGAACCCAGGGCTTTCACACTGAACTACATCCCCAGTGCTTTTTAGTTTCTGATCTGACACAGGCTATCACTAAGTTGTCCCAGCAGGGCTCAAACTTGCAATCCTTCTGCCTCATCTTCCCTGAGCGCTGGGATTACAGGTGTGTGTCACCATACCTGGCTGATAGCTTATAGCATGAAATTTATGAGCTTCACCCATGCTGTAGACATGCACTTACGGGGGGTTGTGCTTCTTGGTTGTTACAAACAGTATTCTTAAGAACACTTATGTGCCAGGTTTTATTTAAGCAACTGTTTTTTGGCTATAGCTCCATGAATGAAATGGCTAGATCTTAGAGTAATTTTCTGTTTAATTTACTGAGGAATTTCATAGTACTACTTTTACATTTTTAAAAATTTATTTTTAACTAATACATAAAAACAAAACTTGTGGATTTGATTGACCTTGT